GATTTTAGAATTCTTAATCTCTAGTATTCAACACAAATCTCTTGTTTTGTGGAGTATATATAAAAAGTAAATCCCGTCCTCGTACGGCGAGATATTCCATCTCGGACAAATCCAAGGATTTTGTCGAGACCAAAATCAGACCATGTTCAGTCCCTTAAGTTTCCTTCATATCCAAGAAAATCAACGTTTCTTGGTCTATGCGAAAACCTTTTTTTTGCTCTTATCAATTTAATTATCATTAACTCCATCCTCTATGTAAACATCAGACGCATATATATAGCTATATAGCCTCATTGTTTAAAATCATCAATTAATTATACCCATGGTCATGGTCATGGCTGAATTTCCGTCAAAGAAAAACCCTAATTCCAAAACCCGTAATAGCTTCATAACCAAATGCTCTTCCTTGGGTGAAACAGCATCATGCCCGTCTCTATATACTCCGCCGCTGCGCCACCATGCTCCTCCGCTCCTACATCGATCACGGCGATGACTAAATTTTTACACAATTATAATATTAACATTTAAAGTATTTTTAGTTGTTCATCTTTTTTGGTTGACCTCTAATTCATCTTGAGTCTCTCTTGTGGGCATGCATTTTACCCTCAACATGGAATTAGGGTTTTGGCTACATACTTGCTTCACAAGTGACTTAGAAAAGACTTTTTATTGGGAGTTACCATTTCAATCAATGTTCCGCCGACATGGTTAACATTTTCTTCGGCCGGTAATATTTTTATAAGATCATGAAGTCAAAGAGAGTATGAAGATGGTTTCTTGTTCTTTAAGTTTATTTTTCTCGCTTTCTTTGTGGTTGATTTTTTTTTTTTTGTGTAGAACAAATATGTAAGAACGTGTAATGTAAGTGTAACCAATAAACTTCCACAAATGTCTTCGTTTTTAATCGTTACCAACTTACCGAACCATCTCTGTTTACCAAAAAAAAAAAAAACTTCCACAAATGTAATTTCTGTTTTTTTTGGTTTTGACTCTTTTGAGGGCTACAATGATAAAAATAAGAAATTTGAGACGCTTTTGAAATATAAAAGACGTCATGGTCTCAAATTGAAAAGTTATATTCTAACAAAATCCTATATATAATAGTTGAATTCATCTCACAAGGGCTTGCCACATGGGCACCCTTCTCCATGACACATCAGCCTTATTTTTTAGTTTTTTAATTCATTTTCTTATTAAATTTGACAATCATCGTATTCATCATCATCTCTCGATCCCTAAAAACCTATCATCTTCCCATTATGATATTTCTCAATTCTTTAATTTCATCTTGGAACTGGTTAATTATATGAACCTCTTCGTTTCAGATTCATCCTCTCATGCTTTCTTTTCCAAATCTCAAATCTATTTCCACACTCCATGTCTTCTCTATAACTAGAATATTAACCGCACATTCGCGCGAGATTTTGTTATACAATTTATTTAATTTAATAATTTTTATTTTTAGTATTTATGTTATGATGAAAAAAAAAGGATTTTAGACATAAAATAATATTTGATTTGAAATCAAATCATTTTAATGCTGTATGAAAATATCGAAATTACCATTTAAAATTTATTTGTTTAAAACTTTGT